TGTGTGTGTGTGTGTGTGTGTGTGTGTGTGTGTGTGTGTGTGTGTGTGTGTGTGTGTGTGTGTGTGTGTGTACACAGTGTGTGTGTGTGTGAACGTGCGCGTGCGTGCACACACACACACACACACACACACACTCACACACACACTCACACTCACACTCACACTCACACTCACACTCACACTCACACTCACACTCACATATACACGATCCCACTACACACATGAAAACGAACACGCCTCGATCACAAACACACCACAAACACGAACACACCACGAACACAAGCATGAACACACCACGAACATGAACACAAGCAGGAACACACCACAAGCACGAACACGCCACAAACAAGCAAACAAACAAACAAACAAACACTCACATACATACACACAGATATATGGATATAATATTAGATGTGACAAATCTTGAACAATGGTTGTGTACCTGGATGTGATGACTGTGACAATAATTGCCATATTGCCTGTGTTATACAATACAAAGCATGGACTTTAATCTTTGTGTAGTTTGTTTCCCTCCTCCTTCCTTTATACTGTATTTACACACCCTGCTTTATTTTTTATTATTATATGATTCAGTATTCTAAATTAGCAACATTAGATTTGAATATCAAGATGATATGGTTGTAATCCTTGTAGTTAGTAGGAAGTTGACATTATGGAACAGGTCTTGTAAGTTTTATCCTGTTTAATAATTTAGAAGTTTAATATATTAGAAGTTTGAGAACATTCATTTTGAACATTGTCAGCAAAGTTAATGTGTGTGGTGATCGTTTCATTTTCTCATTTTAATTCATTTCTCTTACTGCAGGATTAAAACCTATTAGTTAAAAAAAAAAATGTCTAGTTGAACTTAAATGTTTTTTGTTGCCTGATTAGTGTTCTATGTCAAGTCAAAAGAAAAGTCATTTGCAGAAAAGAAAGGTACTGTAATCCCAATATCCTTTGCTAATATTTTTGTTATGGAATGTGTAAAAGTTATTAGTGTAGTACATTTTAAGCACTAAGCAATTTTGTGCCAAATTCAAGCAGTTGACAATACTGATACAGCTTGCCATGCAAATACAGACAGTATGACAGATAATCACTATGCAGATAATGTAAAATCTCTCCAAGTGACATATAACTAACACATGACATTGTTCGATGATCATTTATCTACACATGACCAATGAATGAGTGCCAATTTTTTTTTTTTTATGTCATTTTATATTTTCTTTCAACAAAGTCTGTCAAATGGATTCCAGATTTTGGGATAAAGCCAGAGATTGAATTGTTAGATCCAGTGTTTAAGGTTTAGCAACTTTTAGCTCTGTAAACCTAGAGCAGAAGTAAATACGACAGTAATAGAAATTTGTATGAATAAGTCTCTTCCTTGTAATTTAATTCATTATTTTTAATGATGAAAGGAACTTTCAGTACAATTACTGTTTGCACTTGAAAAGCCTTTATTGTAAGATATATTGTATCATGAGACCATCTAGAAAAGTTTATATTGGAAATACACTGGTCAAGAAGTAACTTTTACTTCATATTTCTCCTAAAATACTGACAGTGCTGACAGAAAATAAATATTTGTATTTACATTCTATTCTTTGTTTTTTCACTTATGAAATACAAATGTGAAGGGCCAGAAGCCATCTATATTATCTTTTGCTTCTAGATACCCTTCAAAAATATTAAACCAAGTATTTTTCACTATTTTCAACATCAAAGATAATTAAAAGAAAATATAGAATTTCATGAGGTATAGTAGTTTTGAACAGCCTTTCCATAACTACATTAATTATGGAAGTATATCAGCATTAGCATTGCTGAGCATTGCTTGGGAACTGTATGCTTAAACTGATGTATTTGTTTGATCCTGTTTAGCAAACCAGGCAGTTATATCGTCTGCCGTAATAGATAAACAATATGAAATGATTAGGAATATAACATACATTTTTACTGTTCTCCTATGCCTTTCATATTTGTTGTGCTTTTTCTGTCACAGGATGATGATGATTAATTTTGCTCTTTATTACAATTCATATTTGCAATACGCTGTACTATAGATCACTTCAGCTTGCCATATTTGGGTTTTTTGATATTTCTTTTTAAAATGATATTGTATTTTTTTATCAGATTTTTCCATTCAGAACATTATCATGATGTGATTTATCATGATGTGCCTTATCTTGACATGAAGGGCTAGTATTAGGATAAGCAAAAAATGCTAAGGCCTTAAGAGTTGAGAGCATCTTAATTTCCAATGAATTCTTGTCATTTCAGGCTATGTCAATATTAGTCTTCTGTTGCATAATAGTTAACATAATTCATTTAGACTCAAGATAAAAATCAAAGTTCACTGGATTGTAGTAATGTTTAAAAGGAAGGTCTCAAGTGTGCCCTTAAGTTTATCAGGCACCATGGATTTTAAATTCTGACTTTTGTACTTGGTGTAGTCATGAAAGGGTTGGCAGGACATCGCCAACACCAATAAGAAAAATAAACAATAAATAAAAGACATGAATCAAGACATGTTTGTTAATTCTTTTGAGAATTCAGTCTGTTAGAGGAAAGCACAGAAAACAAATGGACCAAAGATGGTAAGAGTGTTGATTTGTGTGATGCATATTTTTTTGAGTTTTGGTTCTGGTTTATTTATTTATCATTTATTTATTTGCTCATCAAGTTAATCCATAGCAGTGGAACTGCATGTGTCTATTTATGAGTTTCTTGAGTGGCACTAAAATTGATTAGTTATATGACAATGAAAATTTTTATAAATGGACTTTGTATCAGAAATGGAGACAATTCATTTTTATGAAGGTCTTAGTGCCACTCATGGATATGTACAGATCTTTTAACTTTACTTTTCTTGCAGTTTACTGTATTTACAACCTGTTTGTGGTGGTGTTCCTCATATGAAAACATTTGTTTAACAGCCTGTTGCTAGTAATGTAGTGTAGATTTTTATGGGTGTATTCTCTACACACAATTCCTTTACAGTCATAAAAACACCTACAAAACAGAACAGAGAAAATTACATCATATGGTGCTGGCTTGCAAAAGTTGAGGAAAGGCATGTAATGAGGATAATGAAATATACGTTTTTATTTGCATGTTTTTTATAGCCAGTTGTAATCAAAGCATGCAGGTAAAAGTAACAAGTTAGAGACTCAGATGAAAGAGTAGCATGTTGATGATCTTATGCCCTAATGCCTGGACAGCAGGTAAAATTTTCTTCTAACAATTTTACTTCAAATGATCTTAGTGTAGAGAATGCAGTCATCCATGGCTTTTAGTCAAGTGTAATTTCTTTTTCCTTTTTTTTCTTAATTTGAATTTTAGGTTAGTCATTACAGTATGAGCAAAATGTACTTCTTTATGCTCCCTAATAATTTAAACAAAATACTGAATGTTGTCTTATATCAGCATAAATGTCTTACCAGGCTTCCACATTACTGGACTTTGCCATTTTTACTTCTAGCAGACCAGATACTGGGTTGATCATAGTTTTGTTTATAGTTATACATATTTTTTTCTCGGTACTTTTTAATTATAATGTACTGAATTTTATCATCCCCTTGGCTTTTGTAATAGCTTTTGCCCAATGTTTGCTTTATAGGATTAAATAACTAACCAAGTAGATACAAAACAGAGATTTGATAAGTACTCTTTACAGATTGATTTGTAAGTGAATTGATGAAGTGAACACATAAATGAACAACTAAATCTCTCTTTTCTGAGCACTGTTGGAATTTTGGAAGTATGAAAGATTCAGCTTGTGCTATTTGACATCGGTTTTCTAAGCTCGTTGAAACAATTAAACAAAACAAATATTTAACACGATGATCATTATTAAAGAATCACTGAGATACCTTATTTTCCAAGCACATTTACTCTCCTAGAATACTTCAGAAAATTCATTATAATCAGAGGAAGAATAGATCTCCATGGACTCAAAGGAAAGAACAAAGAGAGGTGTTTCTGATCATGCAAACTTTTTTTCTCTCCTTTTCGGCAAGATGTCAATATGTGAAGGATTAGCCAGAATTACCATATGGGTTGTAAGTATTCTGAATATGTGTACATTTTTATTAGATAAGTAAAAGGAATGAATTAAAAAAAAGCATTTGAGGTTTATGATGTATGGAACACTTGAGTAAAGAGCAACATGATTTTTCACTTAAAGAAAGGGAATGTTTCTTTTATGTATACTTCATTTTATATGATTTAAGCTGAAATGTTAATTTGCATGAATCTGCACTTTTTGGGAGTGAGCATTGAAAAAAGATTATTGAATGTATTGTACACACAGTTCTTGGATTGTTTGTGAGAGATCACTCCTTTTCACCTTGTAGAGTGCTGGAGCAGTTTGAGTTGGAGAGTTTGTCCAAGTAGGGGAGGGGTGAAAAATAAAACCTAAAATATTCATAAGTTTATGATGATTAAGCTTGTATATATTTTCACATTATACACATAAAATCCAGAAATGTGAGTGATCTAGACAGTGTCATGTTAGATATTGGACTGAATAACCCAAAGGATGTGTTGTCTTTTGTGGGAGAGAATCTAATAGGTATGAAAAAGTAATATTTAATGAAAAGAATTATCATTTTAAATACTGACTAACAATTAACCTAGCCAAGATTTGGGATGCATGGGATTGTTTGAAGGACAGTCACTCATATTTGACAGACACTGACTATGTTCTTTCCTCTGAAGGGAACCTTATACTTCTTAAAATAAAGTCAATTTGAAAGCACATGATTAAACGAGAAAGAGATTTGGCATGCGGTGTGATGATACTTCTGAAGAATGGTTAATTGCAAGTCCTCTCAGATCTGTATCTACTTGGTAAATCATGTGGTAGATGGATCACAGTAGACCTGTGAAGCAGGGAGAGTTGCTTCTAAAGAACCCAAAGTCGTAGAGCCAGTGGTGTGGAGGTCTGGTGAGTGCCATGAGCCACTAGTGAGGTGTGTTGCTTGTCTTGTCAGGCGGAGCCACATTATCTGTCCTCCGGTAGAGATGGTGGATCCGGAGGGGGGGCTCCAGCCTCCTACAGACCCCCTCACACCCCCCCCCTCTCTCTCCGACTCACTTTCCAACGAGATACAGTAAGCACATTTTTTTCTTTCTTACGTTTTTTTGTTACAAGCACTTTATTTGAGTCCTTAGATGTGTTTTATTTTCATGTTTTGTGTTTATAGATATGATTTCTCAGACTTTTGTTGGTGCACAGCCTCTTTTCTTCTTCATCTTCTTATCTTGCATATACAGTGCTCATGTTCCTGTATAGAATCCATAGAAAACAGTGACAGCGGGATCAGCCCATGGTGGACCCCCAAGGCTTTGTGCTTATCTTGAAGGTCTTGTCTGTGCAGTCTAGCTCACACTATATACTGACAAGGTTATCAGTCTTCAATATGCCTGCATATGCTGTCAGGGGAAATTAGGCAACACACAAAGCATTCATACTGAAATTTAGTAAAGGGTTGATTGTTGGAACAGTGGCACCTGTTTGTTAGCAGAAGAACCTTAGAAAGAATAATTGTCCAAATGATCAGATTGAGATTCAGCTACAGGCACAAAACTTAAGTATTTTAGAAAACTCAGAACTCCACTTGGGAAAATTTGATACATGTTGATAGGAAGAGCACAGTGATTCAAATTGCTGTCTGTTACAAATACAAATGCAGGATGTCAAATTCTTTATCTGTAACTTCATGTTTCTATATTTTTTTTTCTCCCAGTTTTGTCAAATTCAGTATGTATAGAAATATAGAGTATACAGAACTGCATGTGAGTGTGCCAATACACAGTAGTGCAGGCCACAAAACACCAGATACTAGAGGTAAGCTGCATGATATCTTAAGGTTTCTGCTGAATACCCAAATGACCTTATTGATTCCATACTAGAAATACATAGTAAGCATAATTTTCCTTCAGGTTATAACTAGTGAAGTAAACAAACAGTAATTAAAGTTTATGATTGATTTGGAGTCTAGTATGTGACCTTGAAGGCAATAAGCAGAATCAGTGTGCTCATGAGAAGTGACATAATATGCATGATTTATGTGTATATGCACAGAGATGTATATATGTACATACATGTGCATAATACATGCATACATACATATGTACATATTTATATACATACATATATATATATATATGTAGATACATATATACAAGTATATGTATGTATGTATATATGGATGTGTGTAAGTACATATTTATGTATAATGTATGTGCATATATGTGTATACAGTATATGTTGTGTTGCCTTGATATGCAAACATGGCTTTAATGAATGTTGCTTATTTAAGTAAGCTTATGGCAGAAGAAAACATTTATTTACTATTAAAATGAAAGTGGGTCACTTTATATATAAAATGTTTAGTAAAGATTTAAGAATAAAAGTAGGGCAAGCAATATCTAGTATGTTGCAATGGGGAATAGATTTTCTTTTCATCTATGATCCATTACATGTAAGAGAATGGATCTTTTAGAATCTATTTCATTTCAGGGGATGAGTGTGTGCTCAGTAGAATGAGATGTTTTATTGGTTTCTGGTATAGTGTTTGTTTTTCTTTGCTCTTAATAGATATACTTGTCAAATTGATTTGAAATGGCAGAAGAGTCACACACACACTCACACATACACACACACACACACACTCACACACACACACACACACACACACACACACACACACACACACACACACTCACACTCACACTCACACTCACACTCACACTCACACTCACACTCATACTCATACTCATACTCATACTCATACTCATACTCATACTCATACTCATACTCATACTCACACTCACACTCACACTCATACTCATACTCATACTCATACTCATACACTCACACTCACACTCACACACACTCACTCTCACTCACACACACTCACTCTCTCACTCTCTCACTCTCTCTCTCATTCTCTCTCACTCTCTCACTCTCTCTCTCACTCTCTCCTCTCCTCTCCTCTCCTCTCCTCTCTTCTCTCTCCTCTCTCTCCTCTCTCGCCTCTCCTCTCTCTCCTCTCTCTCCTCTCTCTCCTCTCTCTCCTCTCTCTCCTCTCTCTCCTCTCTCTCCTCTCTCTCCTCTCTCTCCTCTCTCTCCTCTCTCTCCTCTCTCTCCTCTCTCTCTCCTCTCTCTCTCTCTCTCTCTCTCTCTCTCTCTCTCTCTCTCTCTCTCTCTCTCTCTCTCTCTCTCTCTCTCTCTCTCTCTCTCTCTCTCTCTCTCTCCCCTCCCCCCTCCCTCCCTCCCCCCCTCTCTCTCGCACACACACTCACACGCACACACACACCCAGAGAGAGAGAAAGATGAAATCTTAAGTCACTGGTTTTTGTTCATAAAAGTATTACAGAATCTATACATGCACTGAATGCACTATATTAAGGCACAAATGTGCCTGCATGTTTTACTGTAACCCCCCAACAAAAAAGAGATATCCTTTACCTTTTTTTCATATTGATTGGCACCTTTTTGATGCAGAAACATTATATCCATGCCATGGATATATTAGCCACTCCATGATAATTTTTTGATAATTTTTTTTTTCATGGATCTGAGTTAACTTTGGGTGGTTCTGTTAATCTTTGCCATCTCAAAATATGCACAATATTTTTTAAAAATTCATGTTTGTAGGTGTTTTTATTCATAACCTTTGTAATTGTTTGCACACAAAGATAGGTCTGCTTGTAGGTTGTCATACATCTCTCTCATACAGCTTTTCTCATTTTTGCGTATCCTTTGGTTTACTCTTTATCATTATATGAGTTATTATCACCCTTTTGTGTTGGCGAGATGCATCTTGTTCTTTTTTCTAATATATACTATTTTGGTTTTCTCAGTACTTGCTCAGATCGTTACAGTTACTCTTGTCATTTTTGCCCAGGCAGAAAGACAGTGCACATTTCCCTTCAGTAAAGTTGTATGATCATTCTTACTTGAAATCTGTCTTTGAGTAATTCAGAATCATCCTTTCACCCCTAATGCCACATTTCTTCCATAGAATTATTACCAAACTTTCCTTCATAATTTCTATTATGTTATTGAAACATTTCCAAAATTACGTTTTACTTTCTTGCAAAACTTTTGTTGGCCCATATCAATCATCATTATTGTAGTTCTGTTGCTGTTTGAGATGGGTGTTCTTAAGACTACAAATGCTATCTCTCACTAGATTCTTTCACTTCATGCAGTCACATACCCACCAACACTGGCAGCAGCAGTGGCTTTTGTTAATGAGTGTTTAGCACACTCCTCAAGGAGAGTACCAAGCTGAGTGGCTGAAAACAGGATTAATGACTGAATTATGGTCTTCCAGAGATGCTGCAGAAGAAGAGGATCCACCAGTTCAAGGTCCCATGCCCTATGAACCTGATGATGCCCCATGGAGGAAGGGAGAATCTGGTATTAGGAAGTTGTAAGTAGCAAGTTCATCCAAGCCAGTGAGATCTATTAGGGAGATATTATCTGTCACTCTTTTTATTATGAAACTTTTTATGTTGTTCATAGGGATGTTGTCAGAGTGGAATGTATGTAGTTTGCATGTTGATATCATGCCTAGATGGCTATACATTTGTAAAACCTCTTTGTGAAAGGCTTATTAGTTGTTAAGTAAAAATGTAAGATAAACTTTGATAACAGCATTTGAATAGATAAATGTCTTGTATATTTGCAAAGAATTGTAGTTAATCATGATAAATATCCAGCTGTGCATGCACATTCCCAAGCTAGTGTTGTATGTGTTTATAAGTAATCAGTCTAAATGGTTTCAAGCTCTAGTTTATCTTTAAAGTTGTGATACTTCTTTCTTTTAATAATAAAGCACAAAACAATAATAATATAAATATTGTAGGTCTATATTTTCTTGGTCTGCAGGACATTCATGGCTTTGGTTTTATGCAATACATGAAAAAGTGATGGTGATTATTTGGTAATGTGAGCTGTCTTTGTTTAATTGCTGACAGTCTTGTTTCACAAATTATTCCAGACTAGATATGACTTTCCGAGCAGAGATTATTTACGAGGAGGTTTTACTGCATGATATATGGTCATAGCATGTTCATTTCATTAGAGAGAGATTTTATTTTATCACTGTCATCACATGTATTTATCATCCTCCTCTCTATCAGTATGATTTGTCATCAGGCTCCTCACCATCATCTTAGCTGTGATCATTGTCTTCATCATGATTTTTAAATTTAGATTTAGGTGTAATAAATCTTTTTCTAGAGTAATTATATCTGTAGGTAAATTGATCTAGAAATTTATTGTTGAGAATAGAATACCATATCTAGACTTCTACTTCAAACATGCATACTTGAATGAATGGTCTGTACATAGCAAATATCACTTAATTGTCTGCCAAAATTAATATATAACTGTAGAGAACAGTTTTTGAATGATGTGGTCTTACTCATGTGCATCTTCTACCTGTTTTTAAGGATTAGCATAGAAATACTAGCCTTATCTGCTTCCAGTGATGAGTGTACAGACCATGTCATGGGCCCAGTGAAGCAGCCGTCGCACATGTTTGGTAACTCTAATAATAACACTGACAGCTTAAGGGTTTTTGGTTCTTCTCATTTATAGAAGTATCTAAAAATTTTCACCAGAACCAATTAGAATGTGTTGGTGTTTCACACAGCGCAACTGCCGCTGGGTCCTGTTATAACTTTTCTTCTCAAATGGTTTTCAGCTTTGGGTACTTGAATTCAGTAAGAGAGCGCTTGATAAGTGGTGTAGAAGAGAAGCTTCTGGGCGAAGTGCAGGAAGGAAAGATCAGCTCCTGAAGCTGGGGTAGGCAGGGTCATTACTTTGCAGGCACAATTAACCAAACATTGCCTTATTTTGACTTTTGCTGTTCACTATATTGAAAGTTATGTTAATATGAAAAAAGGTATGGTGTGCGAGTTATGTCTGCAGGACACTCTAACCTGTTGTTTCTGTGATTTATTTTCTGTTTTTGTTTTCCCATCTTATGCTGTTATTAACAGATTTACTAATTTTCTGCTCATGTAATGTGAGTTTTTGGTACTGCAAAGTATAACATATTGAGTTACTAACATTGCACTTCAGTCAAAGAAAATTCATATTTTCTAGAATCATATAAAAGCAGTAGCATATAACATATGCCTATTGAAACATAATACAAAGGGCTAATGAAACAGCTTTACACAAATGCATGTAGGACGTCATACATGTGCTCTAATCAAATTACTTATTTTACTAAAACTATGATTGTGAAGCTTGTAGTATATATCTACAAAGAGGAATGGATGATAACAGAGGATGCATTAATAATGTAATGTAAGATTTTTCATGTTTGTAACTGAACAATTGTCCCAAACTTCTTGTTGAAACAATAAAAACAAAAGGAAAATAGATTGAGGAACACAAAAACATACAATTTAGCTTTCACATAAAAGTTGCACAACTTGAGAATATCTTGCCAGTAAAAAGAGGAATTATAGGTATTGATATATGTATTGAAACTTTGAATTATACACAGGATAATGCCAGAATGAGAACACTATTTTCAACTTAAAGGAATATCAGTTTCTGAAAAATGGCAATAGCCCGGTTATTCCTCTTTGACGTCAGTGTGGCTCTGTCTAGATTTGTTTTATTCACAGTGTAGTTTAAAGCATATATTTCACTGAATGAGAAAGTGCTTTTGTTTTGTAAGATTGAAAGGGCAGTTATTTTATATCTCTTACACAAATTGGTATGTGGTTGATATTAGCAGTATGGTCTGGGCGTTCCCCCTTTCTCTCCCCGTTTAGCAAAGTTTAGTGGATTAGTTAAATACCTATAAGGAAGGAACGTGATTTCTTTGTTTACATGTTTTATTTGAAAGAGAGTGAAATATTTAGCTTAAACCAGAAATTATTATATAGAAGATGATTAAATTTGTAATGAAAACTAATGATTATAACCTTACTTTAGTTAGTATTGTGTATTGGATAATTTTTCAAGTTTAACAGCCATAGTTTTCTAGTGTCTGAGTATTTATTATTTATCATCAGATTTAGTCTGACAAGAGAAACAAGCTTATGTCATCAGTAACCCTTTGACATCAAGTGTTTAGTACAACTTACCACTTACTTTGATGCCATGCATATTTTTTACCTGATTGTTTTTCTTTCTGTTTTAATGAATTAATAAATAATTGTACATACATCTTACATCAATGATAGATTTTTGTCTTTTGATAATCAGTTAAACATAATGCAAGTTTAACTTTTATTTTTGTTCATTTTCATTAATTACCTATATTGCTTCCAAGAAGTTTTTAGACACATCTAAAGAATATAATAGTAGCATATAAGTGAAGAAATGATAATCTGGTGAGAAATAAAAAAAAAGTTTTGGTGGTCATCGTCGACATTATGAATACATTCTCACTCTCACAAACAGTAGTCAAACCAATGTGTGAACACAAATCATCACGTGCCCCACTGGTGATAAAGGCTTACAAACACTGCTCACACACTAGTTCTCTCTCTAACAACATAAATCACATAACAAACACCAAGGTTGTTCCACAACCAGGGCCATCATTTCAGCTTTTTATTGGGGGGCAGGTGTAGATAGGTGAGCAAAGTGAACAGAAATTTAGAAAAATGAACTGTTCTTGGGGCATTTTAAAGCGGGACTTGTATAGGTTTAATTTAGTCTGAAACACTTCATACTCACTTCCGTTAACAACTACATACCACAAAAAGCACCTTTGAGTAGGCATACACTCCTGTAGTTCTCCAGAGACCTATGCAGACAACAGTGATGAAAACAGAGTCTACAGATGCGCACAGTCACATAACACACTGGGCTGCCTTTGAATCTTTCAAAAAAACATTCATCAAAAAGTAAAGAAGGCTGAAGACTAACACATCAGTAAATATCTCACAGAAACAACCCTAGAGTTCAAGATATGCAGGACACCACAAACATAGCTGCACTTAAAAACTACAATAATACCCTTGTCATTATACCAGAACACAAAGCAGACCTACTCAACACAAAGTTCCACAAGAAAACCCCATTATATCAAACATACCAAACAGACAGCACCTACCTATCCCAACTCTTGACATTTGGGAAGACAGAATGCAGAAACTACTGGACACTAACTAATCAACTGGTTCCAACAAGATCCCTCCCTTCTTCAAAACCTGTATCCAATCCTCCAAATCATTTTCATGCAGTTCCTCAGGACTTCCTCTATCACATCTAACTTGATACAAAAAACATACTAACTGATACACCACATATTTGGACCAAAACAATGATTGTTACTCATTTTGACATTGCCATACTTCTAGACAGACATGATGTTAAACAGGTAGACACAATAGTATTAAACTTTGCCAAAGCCTTCAACAAAGTTCCCCACAAAAAAACGACACAAAACCTATAATTTTTATGGAATCACTGGACAGACGCTTCACTGGATCACAACTTTTCTTTCTAACAGGACCCAATACATTCTTCTTGATGGTACTGTATCTAACCCTGTCCCTCTGTCTCCAGGGCACCATCTAAGGCCCTCTCCTTTTCCTACTCTACATAACTGATCTCCTACTATGTACTACTAAT